ATTAGTTATATGTATAGTATTTGGCATGCTGTAGTAAGAAACAAACATTGCATTGCCAATACGAGGTTGTCCAAATGTCAAAACCTGGACAATCTGTTCTTCATGATTTACCTGGAAATTAAGTGTCCTTGGTTATATAAGTAAATCCTCCGCATGTCAAATGTAAGAGGAATAATGCCAAAGTTTGTCACGCCCCGAACCCCAACGAGCTCGCGACATCCCCTACTCCGGTCGAAATGATGCGACGTCCCAGGAACGTCGCCGACCCAACCCAAACATCAGAGCCACATGCGAAAGCGAATAACAAAACCCCGGACAAATAATGACGACAACGGGGTAGAACAACAGAACAATTCAGCAACCACATATTCATACAACACCAAATATACAAACATCATATTACAGACGTAAATACAGACTTTCATCCTCAGTCACCGTTTAAACAAAAGTTCAGGGGTTTGGTTATCTTAACTTCACTATCGGATAACCCAAGTTATACAACCCCTAAAACACCCTAGGGAAAAACCTAAGGGTCGCCCTCTTCCATTCTGCTTCGGAATTTCTGGCTTGAATCTCTGGAACTCACCTGCAGCTCCACTGGGCACCAACAGCAGCTCCCCGGACTTCCAAAAAGAAAAGGCGCACTTCCCGGGTTTAGGGCCGGGGGTCTGAAAGTGGCGGTTATACAACCGTGAGACGAATCTCAATAAGTGTACAACCCCAAACCCCACGTAGGCACTCACGTACCGCCAGACGAAAACACACAACGATCGGCCAAACTAACAATCACATGCGACCCTACCTGGAATCCATCACACACGTTCCTGCACGTTAGACAATAACACAGCCAACACATCACAGCAAGAAATCACAGACGCGCGCGTGCCTTAATTATAAGACAGAAATCACTTGGGCACGTCCCATACCGTGCCTAGCAGTTTCTACCCCATAATTAAGCATCACATCACGCGATACAAACACACTCGCACGCTACTCACACCATGCGTCACTTTCCACAATCCTCTCGCTTGTCTTGCCAAATCCCACTCATTTTCAACCTTTCCACCACTACCGCGCCCGCGTAAAACGCATCAGGCCAACGGTCTTCTGACCTCGTCAGGCATCGTCACCCCGTCGGGCCGGGCATCGTCACCTCGTCAGGGACGGCATCGTCCCGCGTAAACGTACACGCCTCAGGACGGAATCCTACACACACTTTCCTTCTACCGCGCCCGCGTAAAACGCATCAGGCCAACGGTCTTCTGACCACGTCAGGCATCGACACCTCGTCAGGCCGGGCATCGTCACCTCGTCAGGGACGGCATCGTCCCGCGTAACGTACACGCCTCAGGACGGACCTTTCCAACTAAACCACATTTCCATATCCTCGTTCCACTCAAACCACACTTACGCACGACCAGTACTCGCACGGCCAAACACAATTCCACATTGCATGCACATTTCACAATTCACATACACTTTGCAAATATAAATTCTCACCACGCTAGCACACCACACAATCATACACATATAACACGCGATCCCGAAGCACTATCACACGTTCTTGGCACGCGAACATATTGCGCAATCGCACTGCCTCACCATCACACCTCACGGCCACACACGTGACATATACAACCACACGTACACAACCCGAAACACAATCCCAAATCAGCCAACTACCACAAATCGCACAATCACGCACAAAATTCCATTCAAGGCACAATCCCAATAATTAATCGCACAAATTAATCCCGATCAAACCTCAACATCACAGCCCTAATCCGAGCTCCCTAAACCTAAAAATTCTTCGCCTAATCAGTCCGCAACCACAAAATAATCAGTCACTCAAATCAGTCCCGAACAGCCCCTAAAACAGTCACAAAATCGCCTAAACCGGGTCCTAAACGAGTCTAGAAATACCCAAGCTCCTAGGTAGTTTTTGGGGGAGACACTTACCCAAAAAAAGGCGAGACAGAACGGGGCTGGAACGGGCCGGGACAGCGGCAGCAACGGGAGCGGCGTCGCGGCGACGTACGGACGGCGTGAACAGTACTTTCGTATGGACACCGTACGGACAGGGGCTGGGACGGTGGCCGGCGAGGTGCCGGTGACAGCCGCGGCGTCCGTACGGTCCGACGTGAACAGTGATCCGTACGGACGATGAATGCGAACCGTACGGACACCGTACGGACGGTGGGGGCGGCGACGTATGGACGTCTTTGGATGGCCGGGTGTTGACGGACCGGTGATCGGAGCCAAATGAAGCTCCGGCGGCATCTGTTTACTGAACGGGAAGAGAGAAAAAGAGAGAAAGGGCCGCCTCGGATCGAAACCGGGCCGTGGTGGCCGAATGTATGAGAGGAGGTCCAGGGGTGCTGTGGCGACTACGGGCGTGGGCGGCCAAATGCTGGCCGGGTACGTGTTGGCGTGAATGCACTTAAAATGCGTAAACGTGCAAAACGAATGAAACAGGAAAAGAAGAGGAAATCAGAGGGAAATGGCCGAATGGTCTGCTGGAGAGAGAGAGGGTCTGGTCAAATGGGTCAAAGATGGTGTGAGTGGAATCCATGTGTCTCAATCTAGGCCAATTGGACAATTTTGCCCTTGATCCAATGGATATCTTTCATTCTCATCTAATAATTTAGGGTTAAAATGGTCCTTTGTCCCTAACCAAGGGCTGACCAGACCTGAATTAAGTTAACTCACCTTGGTTAGAACCCCAAAAACTTTCTAAATTCGGAATTGTCCAAAAATGGCCTAGGGGCATTTTCGTAATTTTCCGATCCCGAACCGAAATTTCAATTTTCGCACATACGCGTTCCATATGTGCGTGGCCAACATAATATGGCGTCGGAATCGCGAAATTCATCGCGCAAGCCCTCGAAAATCCACGTCAAAGTCTCGGGAATAAAATAATATTATTTTTTCAATTTTTGTCGAAATTCCAATTTTTGGCCAAAACGACTCCTGGTATGCGTGGCCACCCCAAAATGACACTAGCCTCAAAAAATAACCTCAAACGACTTCAAAATCGCCATTGGTGACCAGAGGGGCAAAATCGTCATTTTCCGGATCTCGGACCGAAATCCATTTTTTTGCAGAAATGGGTGGCCCCAAGGTTGGTCAAGCCAAAAACGTCATCGGCCGCTCAAAATTGTCACTTTCAAAATTCTCGATTCCCAGGCCCGAATTCCAAGAAATGTACGGACAGGGGCTGGGACGGTGGCCGGCGAGGTGCCGGTGACAGCCGCGGCGTCCGTACGGTCCGACGTGAACAGTGATCTGTACGGACAATGAACAGTAACCGTACGGACACTGTACGGACGGTGCTGGGCGGCGACGTATGGACGTGCTGGATGGCTGGGTGTTGACGGAACGTGATCGGAGCTCCGGCGAAGCTCCGCGTGATCTTGTTCTGAACGGGAAGAGAGAAAAAGAGAGAGAGAGGGCATTACGGTGAAAACCGGCGCATGGTGGCCGAACAGGTGAGAGGGGAGGTCCGGGGGTCTTGTGGCGACGGGCGGTGGGCGGCCCAGCTGGCTACGGGCAGTGCGTTCCGGCGTGAACGAATGCCTCGAAAATGCGAAACGTGCAAAACGTAACGTAAACGAGAAAAGAAGAGGAAATGCGTGAGGGAAATGGCCGAATGGTCTGCTGGAGTGAGAGAGGGTCTGGTCAAATGGGTCAAAGATGGTGTGAGTGGAATCCATGTGTCTCAATCTAGGCCAATTGGACAATTTTGCCCTTGATCCAATGGCTATCTTTCATTCTCATCTAATAATTTAGGGTTAAAATGGTCCTTTGTCCCTAACCAAGGGCTGACCAGACCTGAATTAAGTTAACTCACCTTGGTTAGAACCCCAAAAACTTTCTAAATTCGGAATTGTCCAAAAATGGCCTAGGGGCATTTTCGTAATTTTCCGATCCCGAACCGAAATTTCAATTTTCGCACATACGCGTTCCATATGTGCGTGGCCAACATAATATGGCGTCGGAATCGCGAAATTCATCGCGCAAGCCCTCGAAAATCCATGTCAAAGTCTCGGGAATAAAATAATATTATTTTTCCAATTTTTGTCGAAATTCCAATTTTTGGCCAAAACGACTCCTGGCATGCGTGGCCACCCCAAAATGACACTAGCCTCGAAAAATAGCCTCAAACGACTTCAAAATCGCCATTGGTGACCAGAGGGGCAAAATCGTCATTTTCCGGGTCCCGGACCGAAATCCATTTTTTTGCAGAAATGGGTGGCCCCAAGGTTGGCCAAGCCAAAAACGTCATCGGCCGCTCAAAATTGTCACTTTCAAAATTCTCGATTCCCGGGCCCGAATTCCAAGAAATGACTAAAATTGAACAATCGCGACTTTAGCTTATCTCTGGCTAACGGGTGGCTCATTGGGATTATGCGCTCTCGACCCGTGACCGACACTAAGTCAAATCACATTTAAGTTTACTCCACCCGAGACGACCTCGATTGTCATATAATTGCAAGGGTATGTCACTAGTTCCCTTCGGACACGATCAATCAAGTAGACCGGCCTCAGTTGGCTCAAAACATTCCCTCGTCAATCCATATGGTCGAAGATTGAACCCAGATCGAGTTCTTTGGTCGTGCGAACTCAATCCCGTAACAGCCCTACCCCTAAGGTTAGCATCCCGAGAATGCGCATTTCCGGGTGAGATCTCACTATAAGTGCATTGATCAAATTCATTTCCTAAATCCCGGGAAAAGGATCGAAAATTCAGACTGTTACAAAGTTAACATGCATACCTATGTTCTTGAGTATCTTTGAAAGCTATAACCGCAGCATTAAGGCAATATATGCCCACAGGTAATATATATTGATTAGAAATAAGGACAAAAAATTAGATGAAATTCAAACATAGAGGCATCACAAGCATCGCAAATTGGTAGGCCACTGCGGCATGAATTACATACCTATAAGCAGTGCTGGACGTCAACTATCAGATCAATGACTTAGAACCCTTGCTTTCAAATCCAAAGGCATTAATAACCAGTCAGAAGCTAATAAGAGAAGGCAGCATATGCCCACAAAATCCCATCTCAAGAATTGGCCATTTAGTACTGAGGACCTATTCTTTACGCAACCTTAGCAACAATGTCATAATAAAACGTAGTCGAATTACCTTGGTCTTTCCATCACAACTAGGACATGTCCAACAAAAAAGTGCTGTCAAATCTGACATGTAAACCTGCAAAATAAAAAGCTTTGCACCTTGTTACAATGTTATTGTATTGAAATGGTGAAACCTGAAGGGTAATAACAAGAAGCTCTATGTAAATGGGAGAAAGTTTAAAAAGAACACTTACTACAGATGCATACTCCACCACTATCATCACAAGAGTGTGATTGTAAACAGCTTTATGAGCCTTGGACCTCACTCAAAGTTCTGCATTTAACAGTTGAGAAAATTTCAGATTGAAAATGCAGTCACAAGTTCATTCAATTACAAGCAATGAAGCAAGTTTCTTATGTCTCTAGCAAGCTATTTCAACAAATCAAGTGAGAGGAACAATTTAAGGAAACATCAACTCAAAACAATATTTCGATATATTTCTACCGTCCTTCATGAACTTAAAGAAATATATATGTTCAATGCAATGTGATGAAAGGGGAATAAGTAAACAACAAAAGGCTCCTCTTTCCCAAAAGCTATTCCACTATAACTTTCAAGCTACAGTCCATCACTCAACTGGAGAAAAGCTGACTAGCTGACAGTCAATCACTGTGAGATACTCAACAAATTTTATCCCCAAAGAAGAAACAGCAGGATGAAATTTGTACCGAACAAATATAAGGAAATTCAATCAATCCGACCATATTCTAGTAGTAGCATCGATCCAAACTCGGTAGTCCAATAGCTTAACAAAACCAACCAAATGCAACACAACACTGTCAGTCATATGCCTCGAAAACAACCAAATCTACACCAGAGGGATCATTCAGCTATAGGTTGGCCCGCATTCAATCAGGCACTACAGCTCTGCGACACAGTCAACGATTCCCCGACCCTGAAATACCTAAATCCGCCAAATTCACAATACAAATCTCACTTTCCAAGCTCAAAACCGACGTACCCAATTCTAGAGCCTCCGAATTAAGTCAAGAGGATCACAGCAGTAAACTGGTACATGAACACGGAATGCGATTACCTCTCGCCCCACTTGCGGCAATCGAGCATGTCAGAACAACCATCGCCCTCAACCACCACCCGTTCCACTCCATATTCTACAATAGGAACGGATCGATCAGCGTCATCGAGAAAACGAAACCGCGCCACAAAGAAATCGAATCTCTGTAACGTCTCACATGAGCAAACAATTACACGAAATCGGACGCCGCGAATCGCGCAGTGAGATAGAGAGATGGATCGCGATCGTCCGTATTCCTCGAATTGAACCTCGATTCCGGTCTCTCAGGTTGGTGGATTTTATGAAGATTCTCGCGACGGGATGGCGATTGAAAGCTACGGCAACTCAGGGCAAAGGGGAGGAGAGGATGATGAGTATACGACATTTCCTTATTTGCCCTCGGGATCTTCTTCCGTTGTTGGCGGGCAGATTCGGTGATTTCGCCGTTTGCGTGAGGGCACTGAAGGAAGTTCCTCTAGAAATTCAAATTTGGGGTTCTATCTTCTCTCTGTTGCAGCTTCCCTTTGATGTCTCCACATTAGCACTTCGACTCATCTTAGTCGAATTTTTTTTTTTTTTTATTTGTCCTACTCTAATTCTTATTCCACTCTTAAACTTTTACTCTGTCTCTTTGTAAAGTACGGGAATCTAGAAATAGAATCTCACACCTGAAACTAAACGTCCCCACCACTAGTTCCTGAAAAAGTGGGAATTCGAACCCTTCACCTCCTCCATCCTAACGATAAGGATGACCACCAGAGCATCTCCTAGTATATGAAAATGCAATCACTACAAGACGCACTGTAAAGGTGTATTCAACTTTAAAAAGACAACTGTGTTTGATTACATATGCCTACTTTTTTCTCAATTTAGCTTAACAAACGGTGGGAGATGAGAGCTCCCATTGAACCAAAGTAGTTGTGCCTTCAGAGTATAGAACCATTAGTCGCTCTGAATAGTTTTGATTAAAAATGCAGTCCTTAATCTAAGTTTCTAAATATGCAGGCGAGGACTGCCGTCGTGAAGGATGAGAGATTACGCGAAAAAATAAAATAAAAAAGAGGGATCTATGGTGGTGGGAAGCAACATGAGACAATAGCGATGTTGATCCTAAAGAGGTTACTTGAATTTGTGAAAATGTTTGTGAGGCTGAATAGAAATGGTAGAGGACGCATTTAGGGAATGATAAGATCCTGACTGGTGCTTAGGACCATTGTGATCGGGATTACCTTATGCTATATGTCTTCATGAATTCCTGTTTCTCCAAAGAAATGCACCCTGCCTTGGTGATTGTCAATGAATGAACACATTTCATAATTCATGTCAAGTCGATGCAAAGTCTTTGCAGTCAAACATTTGTATTATAAGGGTAAACCGAGATGTTCATGTGTATAGGAGGCCGTAGCTCATTGTCCAAAAAATTCTCAGATTTACCACAATTTGAGGTAAATGTGTCATAAGTGTACCTAGGAGTAAGTGTAACACGAATATACTAGTTTGAGAGTTTTTTATGAAAATATAGCATGTGCATACCAATTTGAGGTTTTTCGTGGTAATAAATCTTTTTTAAAAATATTTAAACTTTGACTAGTTGTCCAAAGTTACTCTAGACTAGACTAAAGCCACGTTAGATCCACGTCAGCTCCATTCACCTGTTGTTATCTACGCAAGCCACCACGTAGGGACGGAATTGTAAAGGTAGCTATTTTTGGGTCACCAGTACAAGTTTGGAAAAATTGATAACACGAAAAATTGAGGCATCGGTGTCACGCCGGGTAAAATTTAGGCTCTTTAATGGAATTTTCTCAAGCCCAGTGAGCTTCGGTGTCCACACAAACGGACACGTCCAAATTTTAATGAGTAGTGAACTTTGATGAAGGTACCGATATCCATTGCCATCAGGAGCTCTCACATTCGTGCGTCAATGCCCCAACGACGTTAACTCCTCGCCCGTTTGAGTCTTTTGCCACACCTTCGTTTCTCTATATCTCCGTGCAGAGCTCACGGCTTATGTCGATGGAAGTCGCGGCCGCCGTTGATTCACTCCAACGGAGGTAGCTAGCCTCGTACGGCCATAGATACGTGGTCACGTGAGGCAAGCCACCTCCATGACCGCGGCGTCGGAGCTCCACTCGGGTTGATTTGCTTGATTTTTGGAGCATCAGAGTGAGACAACCCTCAGCCCTGCTTAAAAAAATAAATAAACAGATTAACTTCCTCGCCACGAGGGCAATTGGGTATTTTCGCAGCAGCAAAAAGAGGCATGCAGTCATGCACTTGATGATCTAAAGATTCCAGAAAATCACAGAAAGCAAACTCCACAGATACAAGATTATTACAATTCAAAAACATAAAAAAGATCGAGAGCGAAATTCTTTTTAATATTTTATTTTAGTCACCGAAGCTGCTCAATTGCTCCTCCCATCTCCTCAGAATCGCACTAATTCATTTGCCCCGCCAATTTTGTACTTCTGTTTCTAAACGCGTAACGATGGTGGAGAGAAAAAGAGAAGAATTGGGTTGGGAGTCGTGGTTGCAACAAACCACGGAAGGCGGTTTTCTGGTGATTTTCTGGGGAAGTAGAAGCACCTCCCCAGGAAGTTAGTAGAACTATGTCTATGCGTAGGGGCTGGGGCTCACGCTGCAGCTGAAGTGATTAGAAGAGCGTTTAAATTGAGGTGAAGAATCAGGACCGGATTGGATCTTTTCTTCTATAATCATAAGGCGTATCCCGGCGTGCTGTCAATTTATTGTCTAGTTCTGTTCTCTGCGCCTAACTTGTTGAACGGAATTACATGTTGGATATTTTAACTGTGAAGTAGCTTATGGAATTGAGGGAATCGGATGGTACGAAAATTTCCAAACCAGAAATAATGCTATAATTTTCTTTATCTCGTTACCACAACAATGGATCTGATCATTTCTATGACGTGGTTGAATCATAACAAAGAACCTGGTAAAAGGTGCTTTCTTTTTCAATGACCAAATGAGGAAAAACTAGTTTATGCACCAGAGTTAAACGAGGCTCTAAGCAACCCAGGGGTTAGATTAGGTTAGACTAGACCATCAATTGATAGAAATGTGAGTGCAGATTAGTCCCACAACATATCTTATTTCCTCGGACTCTCATATGTAAATAATCTCATGTTTGAAATATCTATTTGAATTTATCTTGTATTTTAGTCCACTCATCACTACGTACTTAATCCCTCACACACTTCAGACTGATTCTTAAGTAGAGTCCAAAACCGCATTAGTTAAGTAGATGGAAAAGAGAAAACCCCCGAACCTGTCCACTTGCCCATTGTGCTTGTTATGACATTAACTAATGTCGAGCTAAATAAGAAAAAAACGACCCAAATCATTAATTCCAAATGAATAGAAGTGGAGCAGTATCTTAAAGCATCACTTCACAGTTAGAAGAATTCCTCTTGGTTCATGCATCTCTGGTGACGATTTCAAGATTGAATTTTATTCGACTCCGCTTTGAGTCCACCGACATTTCCTAGTCTTCGGCAATGTCGGGCACTGTAGGTGCCTTGCGTCTGATTACCAATGTCCAAAACTGTCTCGTTATGACTCTGATGATCAAACTAAGAGAACCTAAAAAAAATTTGTAGAAGGGAAAAAAAAAAGAAGAGGAAAACTACTCAAAGTGGAGGTCATCATACTTGTTAGATGATGTTGCTGAAGCCCGATTTTCCATCGGCAAGTTGACTCCAAGGTCAAAATGCACTCTAACCATTAAAGAGAAATTTCTCGAGCTGTAGGAATGCTTGCCAAACCCTCTTTTTTTCTCCAATTGTTACGGAGCATTTCAAAACTACACACGACTCTACTAAACTTGAGCTACCCTTGAATCTAGTCATTTGGTCTACATGTTTGAATTTGACAGAGGGAGTTCGCAAGCGATGGTATTTGTGGTGCGGCCAGCAACGCCGTGATGCTCTAAGTACAACGTAAACATCGCAAAGCTATAGTATTGTCCTTGATTCAATATACAAACTAGGAAGAAGATATATGCAAGTGCGTATAAAACAATGAATGGCATTTTGTTAAGTTGACTATAAAAAGGGTCTTTTTAATAATAATAAAAAGGCGTAAAAACAACACCACATTTTTTTGGAAACTAAATTTAATGAACATAGCATTTTCCCTTTTTAAATTCATTTTTTCGACACATCACTTACAACCTCTGTACTAATGCGTGATATATATATATATATATATAGATAGATGTTTGGGCGCGCATTGTCCGCTTAGGAGAAAAACTTATATCAACGGTTGATTTCTGAAACTCTTCAGCTCACTAAAGGTTAATATCTATACTTTTTAGGAATTACAATCGTTTTTTTCCCAAAATATCTTCAATTAGTTATTTTGTAAATATTCATATCAATAGAAAAATGCGTAAATTAATAATTCTACTTTATCTATCATGCATTTCAACTTTAAAGTTTGAGTCTTTTCAATCTTATCAGTTATAAACAATCTGACAAAAAAGAACATATTCTGAAATAGTTTTATCTTTACCCGTATGCATGTATAATTTCTTTCGTATTATATGAATAATATCTTTCTATTCATTACTAATTTAAATATTTCGTAATAAGGGAATTTTGCAATATCTTTTAAATATTAATTTTTGCATAAACGTGACGCGGATATAGAAAGGAATCTTTTTATTTCTTATAAAGATTATGTATCAGTACACTCAAAAGTATTGACTAGAAAGAAAGGAGAGGAACCAAAAAAAAACCTATATTTTATGGAAAAAGAAGTAATACTTATATAAGCTTTGAGTAATAGTACTTTTGATCACTCAATTTCATAATATAAGCTTAGATATTTTTCTATATCTCTAATCATATAAATAGTTAAACTAAAAATATAAGTTTTTGGTACTCGGAGATATTGCATTCGAGACAATGGTGAACTGCATTCTTTTATAAAAAAAAATGATGTGACATTCTTAATTCTACTCCAAATTCTAGGGCATCAATTTCTTTTCTAGTTTATTTTCTAATGTAGTACTTCACACAACATATTCTTTGTTCATTATTAAGACTATAACATGCTAGTATTTGTACCACACCAGCAATTGCACATTGAATTTTTCATTCTCCCTTAAAATCTGAATTTGACTCATCATACTCATGCATTACATATAAAAGTCTGGCTTTGAACAAAGTTTGCAAAAGACTTGAACTTCAGCATTATACCCTTCCAAACAAGTACATTAAAAAAAAGGGAAAATGGCACAAATGATTCATGCACTTTGGTCCAGTATGCAATGTGGTCTCTGAATTTTTAATTTGTTCAATATGATCCCTGAACTTTAACCAAATGTGCAATGTGGTCCATAAAC